CAGAATGCCTTATATTGACGTCCACATGACTTATATTGACATCCACATGACTTCTCTAGAAGGTTAAAATTTAGTTCAGATGTAGTCCTTGTGTATGTATTTTCAACATCTCCTAGGGATAACCGCAGTCTCATTTAGACATCATTTATACTGCTTGACAAAATGAACACTGTTAGGCTGCATTCAATTAAAACTCGTGCAAATCAACTCACAGACACCGTGTGTTTGTATAAAAATCAGGAAAAAGAAACTTCACTTATACAGTGGATAACAATTAACAAATAACAAACAATTTAGTTTGGTTAGGTCCATACAGAACACTATACCAGTCAAAAGTTTTTTAACAGTAAAGTCTGTTTTTTTTAAGTTTTACGTTTTTTAAAGAAGTATCTTCTGCTCACCAAATATTTCAAAAATATTTAAATATATTATTTATTTATATATTTGTAAATATATGTCAAAATTGTTTTTGTTGTACTTTGGATCAAATAAATGTAGGCTTGGTGAGCAGAAGAGACTTCTTTAAAAAAAAAAAATGAAAAAGCTTACTGTTCAAAAACTTTTGACTAGTAGTGTATGTTCACCTGTTGGAGCTGAATTGGGGGAGAAATTTCTAATTCATTTTTATTTCAACTGCAATTAACCAATTAAAATGCTGGTACATTCAAAGATGGTACATTCATTATTCATGCAATAGTCAAGTGTTCACGTACCTGTATAATATCTGCATGCACAATAATGAAAAGTACACACATAAGGGCCTCCACATACAGCAGAGTCTGGTGTGGCAGGTGGAACTGGAACTGACAGTCCAGAGGTTGTCGCAACATCTGTCGTCACGAACTGCCCTGAAACAAAATTGAAATATAAACGATTATTATAAATATAAATATAGCTTCACAATGCTCATTTTGTCTTCTGTCAGACTGATATTTAATCTTTACTTAATCGTTTCAGTGTGCTTTTATAAATGATTAGACTGATATTTAATCTTTACTGAATCGTTTCAGTGTGCTTTTATAAATGATTTTAAACGCCTCTCACAGAATCGCGTGAGCGTCCGGCATCCACGACAAAGTCTAACGTATTTTACTACAAGAACAAACACTTTACACACCCGATAAAGTTTTGAAAATATTACATATTATTGTAAAGTTACGTGTTTTAGTGACCAATTTAAACAACTGAAAGGGATAAACATAAATTTACCTCAGACTGTACCACATCACACGCAAATTAACCAACAGGGATATGTAAAATAACAAAGAGTGGAATTTGAAAACTTATTAACACAGAACAATATAAATTTAGAGTGAAATTTAACAAAAACGACGAATAAAAGTACATTTATAATGTCAGATGACCGTTACGGTGAGAATTTCAAACTGCGTCATGTTAGTCAAGGCCACTGGGTCTCATCCTTTGTAGGTTTTATAAAGTGTCCTCAATGAAGAATAAAATCAATTACATACAGAATCTATCGCGGTGGTATTATCTTCAGTCTTTGGTAATATACAGAATTAAAGGGGTTATATGATGCGATTTCAATTTTTCCTTTCTCTTTGGAGTGTTACAAGCTCTTGGTGCATAAAGAAGATCTGTAAAGTTGCAAAGACTAAAGTCTCAAAGCCAAAGAGATATTCTTTATCTTCCGTCTTCGCGGTTGCTTGCGCCATCATGTTTAACTTACTTCCCTTCAGAATGAGACAAGTTAATTTAGCGGCTAATTTCAAAGGATTTATTTTGCTTCAATTACCACCTGAGAACACTTTAAACATTAATATTACAGTGTTTTTGCTTACATATTTATGGCCTGTGGAAGTAAATAACTTACCGCCGTTTGACAATACGAAAAAAAGCACACAAAAGTCTTTTTGAAAATGCCCACGGTGGCACAAGTGCTCGTGCTCGCACGCGTCTGTCGGAAGCGCATATACTTACTTGCCGGCAACCCGCCAAAATAAAAGCCTGCTGATTTTAAGTTTAAAAATGATGAAAATTCATATTAAAAAAGTAGTAAGTATTAGCATTTTATTTTGAAGTTTACTATATAAAAAGTGTATTTGTATTTAATACTCCCTTTTTATTTTAAAATATTACAAATTATTTATAATAGCATTAGTATTATTATTTTAAAAAATACTAAATAAAGTTCAATAATATTATCTCTATTATTCATTTATTATTTATAGTTATATATGAAGAGTTCAGATGCAAAAGCCTCTAAGTACATCTGATGTTTTTCTTTAAAATTAGCATTTCTTTCTGGCTATATATAGGTTTCTATGCAAGTACTGGTACTTCTGAATGGGTTGGGGCTGGGATTTAGCGCATTTGAAGTGAACGTACTTGATGAACATATACTATGTGTGAAGAGCATTCACTCAGTATCGTTATCTCATTTTAGACCAAGATGGCCTTTAGAGGCTTTTGCATTGGAACTCTTCATATATGTATTTAATGGGTCACACTATGTGTAGTGTGACGATCTGAGAACCAGGCTGAAATTCTTATGTGCACCTCTGTCTATAACACATGCACAAAGGAGACACATATTCGACCTTTTCATTGAACACAAAGAAATTAAGTTCATTGAACTTAATTACAATACTTTAAGTAACAAAGTAATAAAAACTCGATCAAACTGAGTAATGTGAACAAAGCAGAAACAAATAAGTAAGATGAACGTAATTTTACTAAGTTAACAGTGCATCATCTTTTACAGTGCATACAGCAATCAGACACTTGCACCATATGGCATTCATCTTGCTCAAAAGCTGCTATTTATTGGCCAAAAATGGATTTTACTTAGTTGGACCAAGAATAAACCCTCTTTGATTTGTTTGAGAAGATCTTCAAAATGCTTCCATTTGAGAGAACCTGTGCTTCACTAAAAGGGAATGTAGATATCTTCAGTGTTGGGGGTAACGCATTACAAGTAACGTGAGTTACGTAATCAGATTACTTTTTTCAAGTAACTTGTTACGGAGCTGACGAGACGAGAGGCATGCGGATCCATGTGCAAGCTTTGATTAATAAACATAGTCAAAAACAGAGGCAGGGTCGAACAACAGCAAACAGGTATGGCACAGGCAAGACAAAAGAGCAATCCTAAACGGGCTTGAGGCAAAGACCACAACGGAGCAGATGGGACAGAAGCCCACCAGGGCGGAGCAGACGGGGCAGAGCAGGCGGAGCAGAAGCCCACCAGGGCATGTCGGCAGACCACCACGGCGGACCAGAGTGATCCGGATCCCATGGCGGGGACTGGGGTTTAGGGAAAACTGAGATACAAGATACAAGCAGTGCATTTACGGCATCAAGGACCGGAACTGGAAATACAGTGGGCTTATTAAAAGTATCTTTGGGCATGACTGACAGGGTTAAAAGTTCAGTGTTGGTCTCCTCAAGAGTGACTGGACAGACAGACAGTTCATAGTTGGGGGCATTGGCAGAAACTGAGTGGGTTGACAGTACAAAGTTAGATTCAAGAGCTCAGACAGGCAGACAGTTCAAAACTGGATGTATTGACTGAAAATGTGGCCGGGAGGTTCTGCAGCATGGGCCGCCAGCTCTGGAGAAGCTACAGCAGGCGCCATCGCCTCGGGGAACACGGCAGCATCAGCCGCCACCTCGGGAGACCGCACAGTGGCCGCCGCCGTTTCTAAAGTTTCAGTGGTGGTGTATGCAGCCCAAATACACCATAAAGCGATCCCCATTGTGGGAAGCGCTACAGACAGGGGACTTAGTTCAGGAACAGGTGGGCTAGAGTGAGTACTGTAGTTCTAAAATAAATATGAATATGCATTAATTAATTTCACTCACAAAAAAAAAACAAAAAAAAAACACAGATTCGGTATTCCTCAAAATGAATACAAATAATGCAACTCAGAATATGACGCAAACCTGCAATAATTAAATGTTAAACAACACAAATATCCTTTATGTATTTAATCCCATTCTATTAACCAATGTCTTTGCTTCTGACCCTCGATGATCCAGTTCAACCATACTAATAAGCAAAAATTACTCTAGACAAACATTTGTGAGTCTTTTTTATTGCTGAAGTGTGTTGAAATTTCTTCTTCTGCATTATACTGTATGGACGTAAATTTACTTTGCCTTCAGCCTGTGGCTTATTCATTTCACTTTTGGTGTGAAAAGGCTTTTATATTTGACCAAAATATAACTTTTTTATTTTAAAAACAAACAAGCAAGCCCTGTCCAGATTTAAAAAGTAACACAAAAGTAACGTAACACATTACTTTCCATAAAAAGTAACTAAGTAACGTAATTAGTTACTTTTTTTATGGAGTAACGCAATATTGTAATGCATTACTTTTAAAAAATAACTTTCCCCAACACTGGATATCTTAAGATGTATTTGGTCAGCTTTTGTTCTCTACATGCCTAGACAGTAGCTATATTTAAAAGGTCAAACAAATCTGTGCAATGCAAAACACAAATGTGCTAGGTGAGGAAGATTTGTTCATTTTGATTATATCTTTGATTTAAGTCTGAGAACTTTACTTTTTACTGTTGAAAATCAACAATGAAAAAAATGTAATGAACAATTATAAAAAAAAACATGACTATTAATAAGAACACACACACACACGCACACACACACACACACACACACACACACACACACACACACACACACAAACTTTATTTAAACACCATACCTTATTTTTCATTAATTAATAAATACACTAATGCATTACATATTACTAACAAGAGTTATATTACTAAGCTAATGTTGGCTTATTACAGTAATTAAAAACACATCGCCCCAACCGCGACTCTCAGCATGACAAACTAACTAACTAAAGCGATGAGGTTTGCACGTAATGTAAACTACTGTTCAAGAGTCGTGACGGTAAATGACAAGACGAAAGCCAATCAAATCGTGGGATTGGCCATCTGAAGGTTTAGCTGTCAGCAAAATAATCCAATTAGCAAACACTCCTTGTGGAGTTTTGGCCAATCATCGAGCCACTTGAAGAAACTATCCCACCCCTCCATCAAGACGCACAAGTCTCTGAACCGAAGGATATCTCGGCCTCCCCTACAGAAGCTGATTATTCGGATTTATGTAATGATTTATCCCACACCATGATCCCATACTGATACGAAACTTAGACAGATTTAGTCAACAAGTCGACAGATTTGTTCAGGGACATCTGCGTTGGCGTCAAACATGCGCAAAAATTTACGCTATCAAAGCAGAGAATCGCCGTAAACGGAATGATCGCTTCTCACGTGAAGTCACCCTGATTGTTTGTTTTTAAAGGAAGCGACACGCATATCGGCTCCGAAAATATCCGCAACCAAGAGACTGAAGTGGGAACGAACGCTGACATCCGCAGTATATCTGGAAATGTGAGTATGGGGGGACGTGTGGGCCTCGGGTTTGTTCGACGAGAGCTCGTGCTAAGCTAACCAGCGCGTGATTTCATTGCTAAGTATGAGGCTTGTTGTGTAACGAGCGAGCAGACACACAAGAGCGGCTATAACGATATTAGACTGACATTACCGCCCACTTTCCTTTTGGATACAACAAAGAAACATTGCTGTTGTTATTGTGTGTAAATTCTGAGGTTTAACGCTTTTGTTTGTCCTGTAGCAGCGACAGACAGACAAACAAGCGCGCGTCAGAAATAATTCCATCGGCTCCTGCTCCCCTGTGGCTATAACGATATTAGACTGACATTACCGCCCACTTTCCTTTTGGATACAACAAAGAAACATTGCTGTTGTTATTGTGTGTAAATTCTGAGGTTTAACGCTTTTGTTTGTCCTGTAGCAGCGACAGACAGACAAACAAGCGCGCGTCAGAAATAATCCCATCGGCTCGTGCTCACTGTTAGTAAGAATTTAGTGCATTATGTAACGACCTCGGCTCCTGTCAGCTCTCCTTCTGTTTCTCTGACATGGTTAAAGCTTTTCTCACTCACATTTAACGCTTCATTTGTTCTTTTAACCTACAGTGTGCTGGCTTACGTTTACCCTTGGTTTCATGCTCACCACAGTTGGCTGCTTTTGCCTTACTGGGTGTTTGCAAGGAAGGCCTGAGATTCATGCTGAAATTGTGTCGTTTTATCATCTGAGCTCTTGAAAGGCCTCCTAAGTTATATTATTGATTTTTTTTTAATTATCTGTACAGCTAATTTTTTTTTGCTTTAATGCAACATAATGTGATTAATACTTTATTGTGGTAAGATGACTGCTAAGTGACGTTAGGAGTAGCAAAAACTTGAATTGATGGTGAGTATAAATTTGGAGTCCTTCATAATTGGTATCACGTTGACATTGTATATCTGGCTTCAAAAGTTGAATGGTGGCCAAAAAGTTAATGAGTTAATGTCTTACATTCTTCCATTACCTCATTTTTGATGTGTATTCATGTTCACTTTATCTCTGATACAGTTTGTAGAAGTGTCATTTCTGACTACGAGGTTGTCAGATCTTAATTTCACTTTTTATATATTACAGCAGATCTTAGTTTAGTGGCATCTTGCCTCTTTTGCAAGTGATGTTTCATATCTTGTCTAGGACAGCTTTTCTTTAGGCTGACTAGGCATTAGACATAACTTTATGACTTCAGATTGTGTTCTCAGATACACTAATGTTCTAAAGTTTGGGGTCAGAATTTTTTATTCTTAAAAATGCTTTTTTTGAGCAAGCATGCAGTAAATTGATCAAAAGTGAGAGTTTAATGTTAGAGTAACTCAAACTTTGGCACTGTGTTCATCTGCAGAGCGATTAGAGGTCTGATTATGACTGTAGATAACGTGCTTTGGTCATCATTTGTTAACCTGATCGGTATGGCTGTAGACTGTAGACTGTAGTCATGACCAAATGACGACAGCAGTTAACTGTCTTTCTTTATCATGATTGAACACTGTGTGAAACTTTGACCCAGCCTGCCGTTCAGATAGTGCTGAGTTTGCAGTTGTTCATTTGATGCTGATTGCTGAAGGATGGATTTGCACAAGTGGGGAGGTTGGAGGATTGACAGTGTAAGAAAAACAGATGAGGGGACCCCTTTGTTTGCTCAGTGGCTTCCTTAAAGTCCGTCCAGATCTGTGACAGGCACAGAAGTATTGGCAGAAACTGAAGCACAAGACTGCCATGCAGATCTCTTGTGATGGCAATGGAATGGTGCGCACTGTGGGAAAATGTTTGGCCACTGAGGCTGCACGCTTGTTAGTTAATGTGAAAATGAAAATTGTCATTTACTTACACTTTGTCTTTACAAACCTGTATGACTTCTGTGGAATACAAAAGAAGATATTTTGAATAACTGTTTGTGTCCATACAATAAAAATCTTAGGAGTCTAGTGTTGTTTTGCACCCCATTGACTTTCATTGTATGGACCAAAATAGTTCTTTAAAATATTGTCTTTTGACATACAGGTTAGGAACGCCGTGAGGGTGAGTAAATGGTGACATCATTTTCAGTTTTGGGTAAACTACCACTTTAAGTGGCAGCTGTGTGTTTGACTTCATATTGGTTGGGGTCATTACATGACAGAAGACAAAAGTCATGGAAAAAGATATTTAACAGCTAAGAATAGGTGAAGAAAAGGTGTTGTATACACCTTTTAGGTGTTGTCCCCATGATGGTTGGATTGAGGCTATTATGTAGATTATCATTTAAAATGGCGTTTAAATATGCATCATCATAATGACAGTCACAGGACAGGTAGCGCTCTTAATTTTCTTGGCATGCTCTTAATATGTGTATAGGTCACAATCAGGTCCTGTGGCTCACCCTCTTCTCGCTGTCATCATGTTGTCACCACTGAACCAGCTCTCCAGCTCACAGACTAATGTCAAGAGGCCTGAATAGGTGGTGCGTGAGGACCACAACAGCGTGAATACATGGACGATGTTTCCTATACTCTGAGAGAATTTGTATGTTATATGGGTTTGGCAGGGTGGTGTTCAGAATGACTCAGGATTAACTCTTTCTTGACCACTTCCCTGTATGTGGGTGTGTGAGAGGGCGTGCGCGCTTGTGTTTATGCTGAACGTCTGACGTAAAGAGGAGCTGTAGTTAGGCCTGGCTTAAAAAATGCATGCAACATGCACTACCGTTCAAAAGTTTGGAGTCAGCCTTTTTTTTTTTTTTTTTAAGTTGATCAAAACTAACTGTAAAGACTTTTATAATGATACAAAAGATGCTGTTTTTTTAAGCTTTCTATATATCACACAATCCTGGGAAAAAGTATCAGTTTCCACAAAAATATTTATTAAGCACACAGCATATTAATAAGAAATATTTCTTGAGTGCCATCAGCATATTAAAATGATTTCTGAAGGATCATGTGTCACTGAAAACTGGTAAAATGGCTGCTGAAAATTCAGCTTTGCTGTCACATGAATAAATTACATTTTAAAATGTATTAAAATAGAAAACAGTTCTTTTAAATTGAAATAATATTTCTGTATTTTTGATCAAATAAGTGGTTAGCATGACCAATGAATAGCCTGAATTTGGCTATTCTTTGGTCATAACTTTGTTTTATTTTAAGAGAAAAGTAGTTGTCACAGTGTCCTTATTTCCAGTTTCAGGGTAAAAACTTCATCCTTGCTGGTTGTATTTCAGATGACTAGTAGGTCCATTGCTTTGAATCTTAATGGAATCTGCCAGTTGTGTTTTGATAGCTGGAGTTTGTGGAATATTTCTGAGTTGGCTTTATGAGTGGATCAGTTAAAGCAATCAGTCAGGTAACTATAAAAAGCGCGTTCAAGCACCTTGCCTTTGTTATGCAATGATGGTAAATTCACTAATGGATGTTAAGTAGCCTGACCATATTTGAAATCAATAATCATTTCTCATGCTGTTTGTTTGATTTCTTAACAGTGCTACTACAGTTTATATCCCAATTGATAATACTTTTATTTGAAAGTAGCAGTTCTGTTTTGTCTTAAGTAGGGTTGGGTATCGATTGGGTTTTTTATGATACCGGTGCCAAATCGATACTTTTAAAATGGTACCGGTGCCTGAACCGATACTTTAAAAAAAGAGCCACAAAAAAAACGATGGATAACATTAAAGAACATAAAAAATATTTTAAATAAATATACATAGCATTCACATGCTCCTTGGATGCTCTCATTTCCCGTGTTGTTCTTCCCTTACTCTAAGGCTAATAAATGTATTTCACGATCTGGGTCATTATTTAATACAAAACGATATTTAATACAAAACCGCACATAATGTTTCTACTGTATCTCTGTCAGTCACTAATTAAAATGAGTGAATTGACTGAGTGCTGTCTGTCACTGTCTTTAGTCAGTTCTGTGAATGACTGTATGGTATGCCACATGCACTGTAATATGTTTTATATTAAATATAAAATGTTCAAATGAAAATAGCAACATAATCATTTTATAAAGTATGCATTCATATGTGTTAAGGGCTAGATTTTCGCTGGAGGAAACAGCTGTGGTGTGATGAGGGGTGAACGCAGTGAAAACTTTACAGTAGATCGGAAACCGATTGCTCCCTCGTGACGTTTGTAAACTGTATTTATGACAAAGAACTGCACAGATACAGATATTATAACAATCTATCTATAAACACACATTGTGTCCTCTGTTTCTGTCTGAGTCCGCTCGCGCTGCACCGCTGCGGCCTGCAGATTAAAGAGCGCGCTGAAAGATGGGGAGGAGACGAAGTCTGCCGCCGTTTTCATATGAAATTTAATGGGGACTGACTCTGAGGCGATCAAGAATTTGTGTACAGTTTATGGAGCTAATCGCTATTTCGGTACCCACCCCTAGTCTTAAGTAGGTTGTATATAAGTGGATATTTTTGTTTAGTGCTGTAAAAAGCAGGTTTGACTGACTGATGCCAGCTGTATGGACAGTTTTCATTAGATCTTGATTCAGAAGTTGCATGGGTTACTAAAGTACAGGGTTGGGTACCGAAACCCGGTGCCAATATGTAGGGATGGGTATCGTTAAGGTTTTAACGGTATTACTACTCTTACTGATACTGCTTATCGATTCAGTACTTTAACGGTATTCTTATCGGTACTTTTTGTTATATATATATTGCTTTATATTCTGAAATGTAAGATAAATATTTAATGAAATGAAAATAAAACCTCAATTTGTAAATGCACCAGTGTGCAGTAGACTTGTGCCGGTATTCGTTAATGCGATATATTACGGTAATGAATATGCACGATATTGTTATCGTGGGCACTTCTAAATACC